CGCGTCACTGCTTAGCTGAGATGTGTCATTTTGGGATACCAATAATTCGGCCCATTTCTTTTCTCTTTGTTTTAAATTCAAGACGATCTCTTTTTGTATGTCACCCTTTTCGCAAAGAGAATCCTTATCTAAGCCAGGGGCGATCTTTTGCAAAACCGTTGACGTCCTCTGAGAGGTACGAACAGCCTTACGTTTTGCAGCGCGGTGCTTATTCTGTTTTTTCGAACGAGATTTCCTCTTTAAGGGTGCATAATCAACCTGAAAGATATTTGAGGCCTTTGCCCCGAGCTCAGTGAGCTTAGATTTAGTCGTAGCTAGCTTGGTTTTGAGCTCGATCAGCACAGAAATAACATCCTCGTTGAACCTGTGGGACGTTCTTCGGCCAGCTTTTATTTTTCCATTGGAGAGAACTGCTGATTCTAGATCTATCTTAACTTTTTCCTCAATTTGTTGCAAAGATTTTTCCGCCTCTTCGATTCGATTTAAGTTCATTTTTATAACGGTGTTATCGTGAGGTTTTAATGTGTGGTTCTCCCTCAGTAAGTAACCTGCAGTGGATGGGTTCTTTGCATTATCCAGTTGTTGGATTTTCGCCTTCAGCCTCTCAACTTCTTGGTGGACCGTGTACTGGCCCCTTGCTTCCTTGTGGAATTCTTCAGAAAACTTTTTTTTTGACATAGCTAAACGACGAGGAAGACGATGTCGAGGATGAAGAATCAGATGACGAATATGAAAATGATGTTGTACTGGAGGAAATTGGCGAAGAAAGTGATCAGGAAGAAGCGACAGATACGGGCGAGAAAAGTGATACAGATCAAGATTACGACAAGAGTGACAACGAAAGCGACGTTGGCAATGATTATGAGGACGATGAAGACAGTGATAAGGACGATTATGACGACAATGATGTCGGCGACAATGACGGTCTACAAATCAGTGACATCTTGTGTACTACCAAATCTGGTAGAACGTGCAGGACATGGAAAGCAAGATATCTCTATTATTGATTAAAGTTTGACGTGCAAAAAGAAACATAGAATGTTATTTGTTAACAACCGTTCGACGATTTTGTCCTGGGGGAGGGTCACAATTTTATTAATGGAGTAAGGGGAGGGTCGGAGGTTTTGAAACTCTCAGAAGGGAGGGCCACAACTTCTTGGCCGACTCTTTTCCTCATTCTAGTAGCCCTCCCCCCCGCTAAATAATGACCGGTCCCTAAAGTACACAAGGAAAAAATAGTGAGATAAGCCCACCCAAATATCACTAGTAGTACCGCATGTAACACTATCTGAAGCATTCTGTTATGCTTTTTCTCATGTTTTTATGACGCATTTTTTCCTTTCCCTAACGAACTTAAGGAAGCCTTATCCTTTGCCTTACCCATAGGCCCTTACTTGATAAGGCTTTTGTCTTCCAAATAGCTTTAGTAACTTGCTGTTGGTGGTACGTTAGATATATTAGCACATGAACCGGTCGAATTACTCAAATTACGTGTTTAATATGACAAATAACGCCTTATGATCACTCTGTTACATCCTTTACATCGTTTTTTCTCTAATTTTTTTTTTGTTTGAGGACACTGGCGAGAATATCTAAAGCGACATTCCAGTAATAACAGCCTGGTTCCAGTGAGTCATCAAAGAAAACTGTTAATGCAGTACTTCCAATCCTTTTTTGGAATTGAACTTCTAACCACACAAACAAAAAGCAAAAGCGTTGAAATGCTCCCAAAATTATTAGATGCCTTGATGTAGAGAATTCTGGTGAAAAGACTGACATTGAGCTGAATAGTTGGTCAAGTTGGTCAAGTTGGTGTGTAGTGGAACCCCGCAGGTCCTCCCTTATATTAGTCATAGAGGTAAGTGCCGCCCATCGGGTAGGTTTTTGAGCCGTTTTGGTCTGAAAACAGGGTGGACATTTTGCCCATTTTGGTCTGGAATCGGGTATGGTTTTTGAGGGAACTACGGGAGTGTATGAACGTATTTATCGTTTCAGTTCCAAATGATTAAGAAAGAAAGAGAAATATGCGAATTGGAAATGGATTTCAAGAATTGTTTTGTTTGCTCCCTAATCTAAGTAATGATAACATAATTTCTGCCTAAAGACCAGGTCTGAAAACGGTTGTGGGAAATTACATGTTTTGGTCTGATATATGGTCAGGATTTGGAGAACCTGGCGGCACATTCCCACCAATAATTCCCAGGAGTGCCCCCCCCCCTCAGCCCCGAGAGGAGAACTTCCAATTGGACCGTTTCCTTCTCATATTTTACGTTCGTTTCTGATATCTCTCTAAAAATTTGACTGATATAGGGTACATTGCATGGCCAAAAAATATTCACAGATATGTTAAAGCAAAACGGCATTCCGAGGTGGGAAGTTACGACTACTTCAACAAATCACACAACAAGTTGGAAATTACAAATCAAACTTTTTTTGTCAAACTATGTTACAAAGAACTTGGCTGATTTCTTTAGGTGTGCGTTTATTGAGTTATGGGTGCACCAGGGAAGTTTAAGGAAGCAAAAGAGCCATAGGCGTACGGGAAATTTTTTGCCAGGGGGCGCGGTAAACCAAAAGTTGCCCAAATTTTTACGAAAGAGTCGAAAAGAAATGAGGGCCATATTGCAACAACATAGGCCGTCCTGGCATATGAAGGTGGCGATACAGTTTTTCAGGGTCAATACCAAGTCTGAGCATAAACTACGTCGCCATAAACAAACATTTGGAAAAATTGCGACGTCAGTTGTATTAAGATTAAAATTTGTCATCATCAGGGTTGCAATGACATTGGAGCTGCCATAGCAACGAAGTGACCCCATTACCTATTTTACTTCAGCAGTGATTCTCGGCACGGGGAACCTTACAAAATCGTTCACAGGAGCATTTTTCTCCAATACGGTCGCCTTGATGTTCGTGAAGTTTAAAGAAACCTTAAGAGCGTTATCGAGATATTTTGGAATGAAGTTTTTATTATTAGAAAAACGGACGGAAAAGGAAAATCTAGATGTTTGGCCGCTATCTGTACAAAACGAAGCGCTTTTGACATGCATTTTCACCCCATAGTAGTATTAATCTTTTTAAAAAAATGTGTGAAAGATCGTGGAGATAGCTCTGCTTGATTGCTAGAATCGAAAGAAGGATTTGATTAGTCATCGAGGCACTCTTGTTAGCAGTTTTGTAAACATTTCGGTCTACTTTAACAAATTAGCGAATAATTTCATGGAACCGCTCGATAGATTTTTTAAAAGAATTAAGATCCTTCTCGCTACACTAATTCAAACTGAGAATTCAGTAGTCCGCCACATCTTCATTTTCATACCCATTGCTGATGCTATCTGCCATACACTTCGCTACACTGTTCTTCGAGTGGAGATGATTCTAGAAAGTTATGCGAAAGTTTATTTTACGCAATTCACGACTGGAAATAGCCCATTTCAGCTAGTGCAGTGCAGTATAGTGCCCAACAATAAAAAAACCTGCAAATATGTAAATTACTCATCACATGCTAGGCAACCACTGTAATGTAACTGGATTATTACGCCGACTTTAGGTTAATATTCAGGTCTTCAAAATAATTAAATTAAATAAACATGGAGACGTCTTTAAAAACTGACTTTGCCCAAATTTTCACTCGCTGCCCAAAAAATCTGAGCTGCCCAAAATTT